GGGAGTTCCACAGAGTCAGACCCATGACACTGAAGGGCATGCTTTATCGTTGGCACAAGTTACGCTTCTGGCCCAAGTGGGGTCACTAATAGTTGCTTCACAAATGAGCTCATTGATCAACTCGGGACATACAGGACAAGGCAGCCCTGAAGGTAATATGCAGCAGCACTCATGGAAATGTGGATACCGAGATGCGACGATAACAAGAACCCTGCAGGATCAGGCCAGCGGTCCACCAAGTCCAGCATCCTGTTCTAACTATGGCCAACCAGGTGCCCATTATGGAAATGCCAGTACCAGGATTCAAGCACAAGAGCACCCTCCCCACGCCCCGCAGTTTCCAGTTTTCTTAATTCAGAAGCAATACTGTCTCTAACCATGGAGGCAGAGCATAGGCATCGTGGCTGGTAGCCATGTCATATAGGCAAAGGACAACTATCTGGGGACAGGAATGACATCAGCCTCTCCCCCTACACGCACACACACAAGCTGAGGTCCATTTGAGCCTACTCTTCATCAGCCACATCTATAATTCTCCCTATTTTTGGATCAAAGCCCTTCACACAACAGTGCAAAGGGGATCACAGGTACAAGGTCTTCAGAACAATACATGCACGCAAAGGGGTGGGGCGGGGAGACACTTTTCTCCACAGACACTTGCTCATCATGTAATGGATTCGCTGGGACTTGAGCCAGGTAAGAAATAACCTTCACCATGTTTCTCCTTCCTCTGCAGCAACGGCAGACAGATGAATAGATCAAACACTCTGGTCCATCTGAAGAGGGTCTTTCACTTTCAAAGTATTAACCACAGGTAATATGACTTGGTCACTGGATCAGGTCAAAAAGGTACCATCCAGTCCAGAATCCTGTTCTCACAGTGGTCAACCATTGTGGGAAGTCCCCAAGCAAGAGACTGAGTGAATGGTTGTTGCTCAGTACAGTGGCATCTCGGGTTACATATGCTTCAGGTTACATACGCTTCAGGTTACAGACTCCGCTAACCTAGAAATATTGCTTCAATTTAAGAACTTTGCTTCAGGATAAGAACAGAAATCGTGCTCCGGCAGCACGGCAGCAGCAGGAGGCCCCATTAACTAAAGTGGTGCTTCAGGTTAAGAACAGTTTCAGGTTAAGAACGGACCTCCGGAACGAATTAAGTACTTAACCCGAAGTACCACTGTGTTCAGAACCATGAGGACTAGGTTATTAATTTTAGGCTGTACCTCAAGAATAAAGGGTCTGCTTTGCATGAAGGAAGTCCCAGGTTCAATCCCTGGTAGCATCTCCAGGTAGGGCTGCCCTTCTTGCTGAGGTAGACTGCCTCTGGACATGGGGGTTTCATTTCAGTACAGTGGTACCTCGGGTTAAGAACTTAATTCATTCCGGAGGTCCGTTCTTAACCTGAAACTGTTCTTAACCTGAAGCACCACTTTAGCTAATGGGGCCTCCTGCTGCCGCCGCGCCGCTGCTGCATGATTTCTGTTCTCATCCTGAAGCAAAGTTCTTAACCCGAGGTACTATTTCTGGGTTAGCGGAGTCTGTAACCTGAAGCGTATGTAACCCGAGGTACCACTGTATTCAGAGACAGACTAACTTTGAAGATGGAGGCTCATTTCTTAACTACCATAGTGAAGAAGAGCTCTGTGGGATCAGCACAAAAGGCCATCTAGTCCAGCACCCTGTTCTCACAGTGGCCAACTAGATGCCTCGAAGAGGAAGTCAGCAAGCAGGACATGGGCTCAACAGCAATGCTCTCCTCACTTGTTATTATGAATAATAATGATGATGATGATGTTGAAATCTTTAATATGTCCCCACACAAGTTTTTGGAATTGCTGCTATGATTTAAAAAATGACAATTTTCTGCATTCCCGTCCCGTTCTCTCAACTGGTCCAGCAATGTGGGAAAGAAACCTGTCAGAACAATAATCCAGGCAGGCCTCAGACGTCAGAGGGAAGAAGCTAATGGCGCAGATCTCCCCCACCCCCACCCCAGCTGTGGGCCTGTGCTGAATTCCATGTTATTGTCTTCAAGAAAGGCCCCTTTGATTTAAGTCGTTTGACTGTTTCCAGTCAGATGAGGCCTCGACACAATGTTCAATGGCACGTTTTCTATCGGTTGCTCTGTTGTTAATAACCCAGTGCTGTTTATGTCAGCGGGGTCAGACTTGGGACGCGTTAAAAAATGTCATACTGGGTCATGTGCTGTAGTCAAGGTGGAATTCAGACCACTGGGATGGGCATTCTAGAACCAGGGTGGACTAGCCTGAGCTTAATTTCAGGCAGGCCGAGGCCTAGTTTCATGTAGGCAACAAGGAGAGAAAAATCAGGTGTGGATGGAGAGAGAAAGGGGGGTTGGTAAGAATGCAAGAGAGAAAAAAGGCTGCCCCGCCCACTTTTCAAATCTGCCCCACCCACTTTATATCTGGCTCCACCCACATGCATCTCTCATGGACATGATGTTAAGTGCTCACAGCGCCATGGACTGAACCCAACATCAGTCATATTCAGAGCAGCCCAGCTGAAAGCGGTGGACTTGAGTCCCTGACTTTCAACTTCCTCTGAGAAGTTTGTTGGATACAACCCCGTGTGAATTAAACCAGGAGAGATTAGCCTGCTATCATGAAATTCCTAAGGTGGATTCCTGAGCCAGAAAGCAAGAGATTCAACAAACCACCCACTCAATAGATATACTGGCGATGAATAAAGGCATCACACTCAAATTCAAACGTCACAAGGTGGGTGGTACTGTTTTGACTCGATCAGAGATTCTAGTCCTCATGGAGGTGATCTAGACTCCAGTGCCTTTCCTCCAGGGCTATCTGGGGTGTATTTTTTTCTGCTGAAAACTTGTGTTTCTCAAGGGTGCCATCTAGGCTACAATCCAAGTCCAGCTACTTGACTTGAGCAATCCACCAGGCCCTATAAAGTCAAGCTTTGGGACCAGAGGCTTCGGTCTGAGCAACTTGCCTTGCTGCAATAGGTTCCTGGAAGACTAAAGCTCGTTTCCTTTGGAACTTGCCTGCCTGCCTGAGATCACACTATTTGCTTCTGGCCCTCCAAACCTCTGGTCTTAGTCTAGCCCAGAAGAGGCAAAGGCGTGGCCCTTCAGATGTTGCTAGACTACAACTCCCATTATTCCTAACCACTGACCATACTTGCTGGGGCCAATGGGAATTGGAGTCCAACAAATATTTTTTTTGGGGGGGGACACACACCTATTCCCATCACTGCACCATTGTCCTAGTCTTTCAAGAAGAACATAAGAGTCTGGCCACAGGATGAGGCCAGTGGCCAACAAGATGCCACTTCTGCCTGGGATGCTACTCTTCCTATGTGCGGGGATGTTTTTTTTTATTTTGAAATGGAAGAACATTCCATTCTATGAGCCTTCACTTTCCGGATGAAGTCGGTACACAGTTTGACCCCCAACAGTTGTCGCTGCTGAAGAATGAGATCTGTCCCCAGGATCGTGTGATCCTGGACAAAGGTACTGAAATATTGACCCTTGGGAATGCACCTAGTGCTCACCATCCATATTTGGGCTCTCTGTCAGTCCCAACCAGCCACTAAGAGGTGCACAAACCTTTCAAACTTGCTTTTCTGGCTTCACCTAGAAGCCAGGAGGAATCAGATGAAAATAACAAATAGCTGTGGTTTCTTGCATTACAAGGGATTGGACTAGATGACTGCTAGGGGGTGCCTTCTAACTCTAGTTCTATGATTCTATGACCTCTGAAGGTAAGGACTCTTCTCCATTGGAAGTTTGTGAAGAGAGGTTGGATAGCTATCTTTTCAGGATTCTTTAGCTGTGGTTCCTGCATTGCATGGAAAGTGGACCGGATGACCCACGGGTGACCCTCCCAACTACACAATTCTATGATTCAAAAATGTGGACTTTGCAAGGTATCACTGATGGGCAAATACTGGAATCCAAGTCAGCTAAGAATCCGATTCCTTGGATCATTACTGGCTGCCAGCCACTGTTTACTTGAGAGAGAATGTGTGTGTCATATTGCATTACGTAGCGGAGTTGGTTTATTATTTCAGCCTGTAATCATCCCTTTTACCCTACCGCGAGCTAATTGCACGTTTACATGGAGGAGGAGGAAAAAGAAAGAAAGGAGAGGCAGGAGAATCCTGACTGGAAACCTGAAACCACTCATTGCCTCAACCCCCCTCCGATCCAGATCATAACCAAAAGCCTCTGTCTCCCACGGCGCCCTCAAGGCGTGAGCCACTGCATTATTTATGCCTTACAGCAAAGGAACAACTGAGAGCCTATGTCTCAAAAGGGCTGCAGCAGGGTGGGACGGCGCGGGGGGGGGGGGGGAATTGGAAGAGCAGAGAGACTACGGTTTGCTTTAGCATTCACCAGCTCGAGTGCTACAGCCAAAGCCAGGCGAGGCAAGTCCTTTACAGCCTTTAAGCATCCTTGTAAAACCAGCTGCTGCTGTGGGCACCAATCGCCAGAGTATGCAGCCTTGCGCCAAGTCACAGGGCCGGTTCCATCTAGCCTCTCTCTCTTTCTCTGCACCCCCCAACTGCGCGCCACCCCCTCTCTCTGTGCACTACACTCCCTTTCTCTCTCTCATAAATGACATGAAAGAGGGAGGGATTCCTCAGTCGTCCCAGTGAGTAACAGCGGGACCCCAGCTTCTGGAGGGCCACAAAAAACCAGGCCTGGCTTCAGTCAGGGGCCTTACATCAAGTGAGGGTACAGGGTCTTCTTGTTACCTGTCCTAGGCCTTCATGACAGGGAGGGATACTATTCTGAATCAGGGCAGGGATGCGTTTTGGCTCTCTGGCAACTGTTGGGATTCCCAACAGCTCCAGCAAGCATGAGCAATGGTCACAGATGACTGCACCTGTAGTTCAGTGGTATCCAGGGGGCCACTGGTTCCCTGCACCTGCTCCTACGTACATACATCAGGAAGCAAGGAACCACAAACAAATTGAGGGGATTAGGGTAGAGATTTGAAGAAAAGTGAACCTACCATTTTCCTCTCCTGTTTCAACTCCTGGACGTAGCGGGCCAGTTCGGTGGTGATCTGGGAGGTCATGTTCTCCGAAACGACCTCATGCTGTCCTGCATAGTCGTTCATCTCATTCAAAGTGGCTAAGAAGGCCTGGCAGGACGAATACCTAAAAAAACAGAACAACACAAGGCGAACCACTCATTTAAAAGGAGAGGAGGAAAAAAATTAATTAAATTTAAAAGACACATTGCCCTTTATCCCTTGGAGATAATCAAGTTCTCCAGAGTTCTCTGCAAAGACAACGGCCGGTGTGGACCGTAAAGGATATTTATAAATGGGGTTGGGTTGTGGGGAGTCTACAGTTCAGTAGGCAGAACATTGAACTCTGCAGACAGAAGGTCCCAGATTCAGTAACTGGCACATTTCCCAGAGCTGGAGAAGGGAAGACATGTCTCTGAGAATTTGGGATATGGTCAACTGAGGTACCGTTGGGGAAGAGCGGGCCAATGGAGTGACTCAGCATAAGGCAGAATTCAGACAGAACCGTTTTTCAGCCCAAGGGCCACATTGCCGTCTGGGCAACATTCTGGGGGCTGCAGGCCAAGGTTGGGCGGGGCCATAACAGAAAGTGGTGGGCAAATTAATGTAATTGAATACCGATTTATCTATCACCAGCTGCTCCCTAGAAAGAGGCTGAATATGCACAGGTTCATTGGAAACTTACTTGTACTCATCTTCTTCTTTGGAGTTCTTTTTGGGTTGGTATTTCTTTGAAAGGTTCCTAAAATAATAATTAAAAAAGAAGCAAAATAAATAAAAATGAAATTTGCGATTGCCAGTGAATTTTCTACCCACCAGCTGTACCCAATGAAGCTCTACTTTATGCCACTGAAATTAATGTGCTTAAGTCTGTCATGCCAATCAATTCCAATAGGTCTATGCTGAGTGAGTCTAACTTAAGTGTTATAAATATTTTGTAAGGAGGCAAAAAACCTTCAGTTCTTTATCCAGTCTATTCTGCTGCCCTTCAACTGTTCTGAGGGCACTCTATATAGGGTGCATTCAGATGTAGCAAATATTGCATTAATTTTCCTGATTATCCCATTTTCTGTCCTATTTTCTAATGTTCCTTTCACACTGCAGTACCTGTTTCATTACGGAATGGTGGCACATCACACTAAATTTCATTTACACGCTGGTGGGCGCAGCGTGACACAGCGACAGACGTCACTGAACAATGCCACTGCTCCCCTGCCCTTCCTGCAGATTTCAGCTTCTGTCCCCCCATGATTCTATCTCCCCACACACAAAAAGGGCAGGAAAGAACAGTATTGCTGTTGACTCCTGTGATTTTCTGGGTTAAGGGGACAGCAAACAGATACACACACACACACACACACACACACACACCGAAATTAACATGGAAATGATCACCAAATTCTGCTGTATTCCACTAGATTTCTGGAGGCGGAGTTTACATTGTGGGAAAGCCCAGATATACACTCATACCTCGACTCCTGAACGCCTTGGGAGTCGAACATTCTGGCTCCTGAACGATCAAAAACCAGAAGTGAGTGTTCCAGTTTTCAAACTTTTTTGGGAAGCCGAACACATCTGGCGTGGCTTCTGCTATTGTTTCCGGTGTGCCTGTGCAATCGGGAACCAATCGGAAGCTGTGCCTTGGTTTCCAAACATTTCAGAAGTCAAATGGACTTCCAGAATGGATTCCGTTCGATTTCCAAGGTATGACTGTAATGCGGAAATCAACAGTTAGGGAAATGTTGGGGGTATGGAATAAACTGCTGCATGAATGCAAACGTGGTCATGGCACAATTTGCAAGGATTTGCAAACCTGTCAGCATGTGGTGATGTGATTAGAGTGTTGGTAGGACCTGGAAGACCCAGGTTCTAGCTCCTACTCAGCCATGAGTAGGGAGAAAGGTTGTTTTCTGCTGCTCCAGAGAAGCGGACACAGAGCAATGGATCCAAACTACAAGAAAGAAGATTCCACCTAAACATTAGGAAGAACTGCCTGACAGTAAGAGCTGTTCGACAGGGGATTTGCTGCCAAGGAGTGTGGTGGAGTCTCCTTCTTTGGAGGTCTTTAAGCAGAGGCTTGACAACCATATGTCAGGAGTGCTCTGATGGTGTTTCCTGCTTGGCAGGGGGGTTGGACTCGATGGCCCTTGTGGTCTATTCCAACTCTATGATTCTATGGTTCTATGAAGCTCACTAGGTGATTTTGGGTCAAGTTGCTGTCTCTCAGCCTAACCTACCTCACAGGGATGTTGGGGGTATCAAAGGAGGAGGGAGAGAATCTTTATACCACCTTGAGCTCCTTGGATATAAATAAAATAAATTTTGTGTACTCTCTGTTTCTCATTTCCCCCCAATTTAAAACTTCTTTGCAACCTTTCTACATCATTAGTACACATTTATCCTAATGTATATGCATCTTTCTTTTATTTTTGCACACACATTTTCCCCATTTTAATGCATTTTGTACGTTATTATGCTTCCACATAATATACGCACCCCCCCTTTTTCTGTTGGAGAACAACATTGAAAAATTCAGAGAAAGGTGCATTTTGAAAGATTACAGTGTTTCAGTTTGCAAATCATTGCAGGAAGTCCAGATTTTGTAGGCTTGCATTAAATTGAAAATTCACCCAAATTTCTCTCCCCCCGGATCCCTGAGTACAAAAGCACACATGAAGCAACGACAAAAGCTAAAACTTGCAGCCAAATCTCAGCACAGAGATTCGCCTTCTAAGTTACAGGAGCTTTCTCCCACCTCTCTCTACTTTCCCAGAAACTGATGCAAACCTTATAAATATGCAGACCGGATAGCTCATAAATAAGCTCTCTTTTCACAAGACTCTAAAAGGAGAACTTGAATGACAGCAGAGGCCAAAGGAGAATTTATTGTGCAGTTTAGTACAAAAAAAATTGTTGCATTGTTGTGTTTTACTTTCACAAGTCTGTTTTATCCCCAAACTGCAGCAAGTCAATACCAATTTTTTGGCATTGCTTCCTTATTTCTAAATCTCTTGTATTATTTATTTCCCCTTTTGCAATAGGATTTCTGCTATCCAAACAAAATCACAAATTTTTCCACTGGAGAGAATTTTGTTTCAAACCCCCCCCTTTTTTTCTGGGCTCTCTAACTTGTGGCAAAATCACAGCAAATGAATTCTGGGAAAGTCCAAGTAATTTCCACAGATGCATTTTTATTAAACCCAATTCAACCTCCCTCTGCTTCCAACATTTGGAGGAGTGCATGGGCAAAACACTGCAGACCAAAATATAACTAAAAGTACACCACTTAAGAATTTGAAACTAAGGTACAAAATCAGAGGAGGAAGATTCACATAGGAATATAGGAAGCAACCTTATACTGAGTCATTTTGTAATTCCAGTTATTTTGTAATTCCACCTGCCACATGATTTTAACTTGCAACTTTTGAATTGCTTTTTCAGATGTATAAGTTTTGCCAATTTAGAATACTGTAAAAAGTAAAATACCAAAGAAAAAATGTGCAGCTTTCAGTGTTCTACATAACTCTTTGCCTTTTCCTCTGTCTAGCAAAACAAATAACAGAGAGAGAGAGAGAGAGGAGAGAAAATAAAATAAAATAAATAAAATAAAATAAAATAAATAAATAATATAATATAATATAATATAATATAATATAATATAATATAATATAATATAATATAATATAATATAATATAATATAATATAATATAATATAATATAATATAATATAATATAATATAATATAGCAGAATGTTAACCTTATGGATATCTGTCCATTTCAGGCTCCCAATTTTCCAGTTTAGTTCCAGACAACTTTTCCACATTGGTTTCTAATTTATTTACTTTGTGAAAATTCATCTGCATGAATCTTAGCATGAATTTCTCCTAATAAATACATTTGTATGCTGCTTTTCCTAATGTACAGTTCCAGAAGAAGAAGAAGAAGAAGAAGAAGAAGAAGAAGAAGAAGAAGAAGAAGAAGAATTCCCCACCCATCCAGCTGGGTTGCCCTAGCCACTCTGGACAGCTTCCAACACATATAAAAACATAATAAAACTGGATCCTGCTACCAAATACATGATTAGTTCCTTTAGGGAAGAGTAACCTTCCCAGGAACTGGGAAGGGTGTTCAGCTGGTCAAAGCAATTTCTCCCAATATAGTACACATTAGTACAGTGGTACCTCGCAAGACGAATGCCTCGCAAGACGAATGCCTCGCAAGACGAAAAAATCGCAAGACGAAAGGGTTTTTGGTTTTTTGAGTTGCTTCGCAAGACGTATTTCCCTATGGGCTTGCTTCGCAAGACGAAAACGTCTTGCAAGTTTGTTTCCTTTTTCTTAAAACCGTTAATACAGTTGCGACTTGACTTCGAGGAGCAACTCATAGCACGCGGTGTGGTAGCCTTTTTTGAGGTTTTTGAAGACTTTGGTCTTTTTTGAAGCTTTTCCAAAACTTTTCCGACACCGTGCTTCGCAAGACGAAAAAATCGCAAGACGAAAAAACTCACGGAACGAATTAATTTCGTCTTGCGAGGCACCACTGTATGCTACTTTCACTAATTATATGCAATTATATGCACACTTTACATATATCTTAGCATACACTGCTTGGCTGGAGAACCACCTTGCAGAATTTGGAGAAGTGCAAAGGGGGTGGGGTGGGGCTGCAGCTCAGTGTCAGAGCCTTGTGTTAAGAAGGTTGTAGGTTCAATTCCCGATGGCATCTCCAGGTAGGGCTGTCTGAAACTCTGAAGTGTCACTGCCAGTCAGTGCAAAAAATAGCTAGATGGACCACTGGCTCGTTACTTAAATCACCACTTTCTTTAGCATCCTGAGGACCGGAATCTCATTTTAGTTTGGATGCAGAAGCACCATACCTCGATGGTACAAGCTTCTGCTTTGCATGCAAGTGGATGTCCATGTTCAATGTCCTGTCTCCATGTAGGGCTGGGAGAGACTCCTGTCTAAAACCAAGGAGAGGCACTGCCTGTCAGGGTAGACAATACTGAGCTAGATGGACCAACTGTCTGACACAGTATAAGGTAGCTTCCTATGTGAATCTCAAGGGTATGGCTGTATTTCACTTCACGTATTGTTTTGGAAAGTGCAAATTATATGCAGGTTCGCCTTTAAATGAAAGCCAGATTTAATTTATCTCCCATCCCTAGTTATCCTCAAAACAGAAGTCATACAAACCTGTGCCATTCACGTAAATTTATAGAGGCTGCAGGAATCTGAACCCCAAATGCAGAATTGTTATTCTTTTGGTGTGTGGGTCAAGTGGGTCCCGTTTATGTTCCCTACCCCACCTCTGTTTGTTCCATGCAGATGTATGCCACCCCAACCCATCCTTCTTCACCAGCATCTTGCCCATGGTGAAATCTGCCGCTGCCTCCCTCCCTCTCTACAACTGAGTTTGGAGCAGCTGCATCTGAGATGGTGAGCTAACATGGTCTTGTCCCCCCCCCACCACCTTCAGGGATTTCAAGGCCTGCATGGCCAATGTTCTGCTTGGCTGACTCTCCTCATTCTCGCCAGATCACTCCGGAAAGAAGTCGGATATGCCTGAGAATCCTCCTGGAGCGCAGAGAGAATGCCAGTGAGATGGGTGCCCAAATCCAGAATGCACAAAAACACGTGCGCACGTCTCCCTGCTGATGCCCAGGAGATGCCTCAGGAATACATTTTCATCTGCTTATTATCTGGCCGCTGTCATGCTGAAGGTACGAAACGGGAGAGAAATCCTATTTCCTTTGCATTTTAATGAGTAGCTACCCGATCTGTGCTTCTCAAACTGACCTGTGAACCAAAACACAGTGATACTTCAAAATCCACCCTTAACTGAATTTTGTAGTGTGGTTCTCCAGACAAAGTGTACAAAATATGCTACATTAGGGAAGAGCTTGCCTTAAAAAGGATGCGCTCATGAAATGACATGCAAAAATGCATTGCATTATTTTTATTTATTTATTGCACTTATGGAACATATTTTTCTCCAAGGAGCTCAAGGTGATGTGCATTGTTCTCTTCCTCCTTCCCCCATTTAATCCCCATGAAGGCTGAGAGACAGAGACTGGTCCAAGGTCACTCTGTGAGCTTCGTGGCCATGTGAGGATTTGAACCCTGGCCTCCCTGGTTCTAGTCCGACACTCTAACCACTACACCAAACTATTTATTTATATTGTATTTGTATCCCATATCTAAGGAACCCAAGGTGGCAAACATGATTATCTGCCTTCTCTCTTTTAATCCTCAAAACAACCCCGTGAGGAAGGTTGGACTGAAAGGCAGTGACTGGTCACACCCAGTGAGCTTCATGGCTGAGTGGAGGATTTGAAACCTGGTCCTTCTCAGGTCCTAGTCTGACATCGTAACCACCACGCAACACTGCCTCTTGCCTAAGCAATCATATGCAATATTGGTGCGTATTGGTCAAAGATGTGCATACAATAATGCATTTATTAAGAGAAATTCGTACACTAAGACGCTGTGGAATCTTCACAGGGTTTTTTTGCAAATTGCTGGAGACACATGCAGAACTGAAATTGAGTGGGGCTAGGGGGTGAAGGAGTGAGATACTGAGGGAAATTGAAATTTACAGGTTTGTTCACCCCTAGCTGGAAAGTAACATTTCCCCCAAAATTGGCCACATGCTAAGACAGATGAAGAAAACCTGCAATTTCTGCATTACAGGGGGTAGGATTTGGTCACCCTTTGGGTCCCTCCCAGCTCTATGATTCTATGATTTCAGGACCAGCTTAATCCAGCCTCCTGCTTCCAATATATGCCTCTGGAAAGCCAACAAACAAGACCGGAAGTCCCCTCTCCTGTTCCTTTTTTCTGTACCTGTTGGACAGATGTATACAACTGCTGAAAATGGAGGTTCTGGCTGAGTATTATGTGCCATTAGGCATGAGTCCACAGAAAAATGTTGCAGCGTATCCTCATTAAACAGAAGTGCTCCTGATCAGGGTTCCAGCCAGCCAGCTAGCTAGCTAGCTAGCTATGTCTTCTTCTAGGAGACTCCAAGCCATCTTGCCTTACCAAAAGTCCACATTCCATGTTGCTGTTTGACAGGGTGTCCCCTTTCTACCGGCACTCCCCACCTGTTATCACTGTTAGGCACTCACAGCTCTAAACCTTCAGGAATTCATCTCATCTGATAAATATGTAACACATTTGCTTTCACCTTGTTCCCAACACTCAAGGAGACCAAGCTGTGCTTTATGGTGCTCCTTGCTAAATGGGGACAACGAAAGTTGGAAGAACAGCAAGGTCATTCCCCTGAAGAGAGGCACCTGAGCCTAACAATGAAACATATAACGGCAGAGATTTCAGCTGCAAGGTGACGGCTGTGTCTGAAGATGGCTCCTCGCCTCCTGAATTTCTGTCCAGTTTTATCTCCATTACAGGCCACAACAGACCAGGTATAAATATAGTAGTAGTAGTAGTAGTAGTAGTAGTAGTAGTAGTAGTAGTAAAATGCAATGGTAATAATATTAATAGCACATTCCCAGCCCTTTGTGGAGAGGTCAGGGGTTGAACTTGGAGCCTTCTGTAAGCACAGCATTTGCTCTGCTACAGAGCAACAGTCCTTTCCCCCTAGAAATAAAGATTCTAGACCTCATGGGTCTGAATTAAGCTAAATCATTTGAATCTGACCATTGGGTCCATCTATCTCAGTATCATTGACTGCAGTGGCTCTGCAGGACTTCAGACTGCCGGGGGGGGGGGGCTCATCCAGACCCAACTTATTGGATATGCAGGGAACAGAACCAGAGGCTTTCTGCGTGCAAAGCATGCACTTCATCACTGCACCATAGTCCCTTCCTAAGCGGGCAAGAACCCTCAGGGGTGCTCTTTCAAAGAGGCAGAAGTATACTGCAACTTTTTTGTTGCAGTTTCCACACTGCTCTCCACTAACTCTGAGCCTGCAGGACTTTGCTCAGTCAAATGCACCTTGAATAGAAAGGACTGGTTACTTTCTCCTTTGCCTCAAACACAGGAGATTAGGAGGTGTGTGAGAAAGATTAGCCCTGGGATTAAAGTTACCAGAGAAACCCCCCCCCCTCAAAAATCATTTTTTGGTTTCAAAACTGCTTTTAAAAAGGCCCACAAGATTTATAACAGTAGGCCTTGCTTGGAGAGGATAGCTGCTGCACATAGGAGACTGAGATCAGTGGAAGTTGATGCATTTGGATAAATGAAGAGGGCTGCGCCGCCAACCTGTCTGCCCTCAGCCAGCTTCCACCCACCTGCCTTTCTTACTTACAACTAGTCCAGCGGGTCGTGGCCCTGCCTGTCAGCTTCATTTACCTTCCCCTCTTAGTGTTGCCCATTGTACAGCTCAGCAGGAAGGAGGGTGGAGGGACAAACCGGGAATGAGTTGGCTCTGGCTCCTGCCTGGGCTCCCTGCCTTCTGCCCAAGTCTCAATGGACACCAGTCACCAGCAGTCAAGAGGGCTGCATTGGCTGTAGCACAGGAATAACTTTGTTGGATCACACAAAAGGGCATCCCGTACCCATGGGATGAGGACCCTTTGCCCCACAGTATTCTGCTCATTTATCTGTTTTTTTCATTTATAAAAAGATTTATATACTGCGGTTCATTCACACACAAACACACAAGAGCATTTTACTACAATTAAGCACAAAGCCATATAATAAAAGCTATATAAAAGAAGTTAAAGCCAGAAATCAGCAAACTGTTGTGGAAAGATGTACTCTTAGCTCCTGCAGTGGACTGATGGAATAGAGAAAAAAATTCAGCAGGCATTTAAAAGGTTGGCACAGAAGGTGTCTGCTTAATCTTCAGTGGGAAGATAGTCTACAGGGCTGGGCCAATGACACTGAAGGCTTGGATGCTCGTTTCTGTTAAATTAGCCTCGCCAACTCAGGAAACAACCAGTGATGCTCTCACTGATGCTCTCAGAGAGGAATGGATTCAGGCGGTACCCTGGACTTAACTTGTTAAGGGCTTCGTAAATTATTACAAAGACCCTGAACCTGGCTTGGTGGTGGGTAGGCAGCCAGTGCAAGGGTGCTGCATGCTGTCAGCGAGGTGCCCCCATCAACAGCTTGCCTCCGCATTCTGCACCAGCTGGCTGGAGCTTCCAAACCGGGCCCATGGGCAGCCCCACATACAGCGCACTGCAGTAATCCAGTCTTGAAGTTACCAATGCATGGACTACAGTTGGACTCCCCATTATCCTCAACCAGCATGAACATCAGTCAGGAAAGATAGGAGTTGTAGTTCAACAACATCTGTAGGCAACAGATTTCCCATCCCTGTTTACATAGTATTAGCAAACTTAATTCTCTGAGTGCCAATGGAAGAATTAACCATGAGTAAGAGCATGGGTAGGCAAACTAAGGCCCAGGGGCTGGATCCAGCCCAATCGCCTTCTAAATCCAGCCCGCAGACGGTCTGGGAATCAGTGTGTTTCTACATGAGTAGAATGTGTCCTTTTATTTAAAATGTATCTCTGGGTTATTTGTGGGGCATAGGAATTCGTCCATATTTTTTTCAAAATATAGTCTGGCCCCCCACAAGGTCTGAGGGACAGTGGACTGGTCCCTTGCTGAAAAAGTTTGCTGACCCCTTACTAAGAGGAATGCAACCAGCAGGCTTGTGGGATCCTTAAGGTTTTTTTTGTTTTTGTTTTTTACAACCCATAAAAACTAGGGGATGTGACCAAACAGATACATTCATATTAATGGGTCTACTCTGAGTATAATTTGAAGTTCTAAATAGCTACCACCCAAAATTACCTTTAAAAGGATAGCCTATGACCAAACCTAGAAATGAAACAATATTCCAAAACTGGCAAACAGACTCACCTAAGTTGCTTTGCATAGTTGATCTCTATCTCCGTCCTCTCTTTCACAAATTTGATGTACTTTTCCAGAACGTCGATCCCCCACTGGGTGTGTTTTTCAAGGTTGTCAAATTGATCCTGCAGAGCAAAAAAGAAAAGAAAAGTGGATTCATTATGAGCCTTGGTGCAAATCACAACTGACATTTTTATTTTCAGTCATTAAAAAGAAAATCACCAATAAACACTCTGTCTGGGGTCCAGTCCCATCTTAGATGCAATCCCCACTGTTTGACTTACGAGAACGATTCTGTACATGCCTAGCGCAGAAGGATGTTCGGTTGAGCTCAATGCAGCTTGCTTCCAGGTGAGCCTATATACAGGATCACAGCTTTACTGTTGAGTAAGTGCTTTTAGGATTGCAGTGCAGTCTCTGGCTTTGGTGCAATGCAAATAACCATGAGCACCAGTTGTCCTAACAAACATTTCAGCAATTTCTCTCCCTGACTTCTCTCTTTCTCAGGGAATCTCATGAGTAACCATGACCTGTAACTGATGAAGATATATCCCTATGTGAGAAGAAGGTAACTGGTGTGACTCACAGCCTCCCCCTGCTTTCAGAAGAAGCTGCAAGGCTTCTTATAAAGTTTCTCAGACTGAGAGGAAGAGCAGATCAGGTGGGGGAGAGCAGACCTCATGGTCACCCACAAATTCTCCTCCCCCCTCCGGTCTTTGTGGCCAGCAGGAGGGGGAGGGATGCACTAGAAATGACAAAACTGATGGCTGGTGGCAAAATAAAAAAACTTTAGGGGTTAATTTTGGGAGGGATGGAAAGAGTCTCCCATGAGAAAAGACTGCAGTGTTTGGGACTTTAAGGTTTAGTGAAAGGTGAGTAAACGGCAGCATAATATAAGCTCATAAAATGATGTAAGGAATTGGAAAAGTAGATAGAGAAAAGTTTTCCTCTCTCTCTCCTGACACTGTAACTCATGTTTTAAGATTGAGGACAGATGAAGGGGTTTTCCCCCCCCGACAGAGTTCATAAACTATGGAACTCACTCCTGCAGGAGCATTGATGGCCACCAATGTAGATGGCTTTAAAAAAGGACTTGACAAATTTGTGGAGGATATGGCTATCAATAGGGACGCGGGTGGCACTGTGGGTTAAACCACAGAGCCTAGGACTTGCCGATCAGAAGGTTGGCGGTTCGAATCCCCACGACGGAGTGAGCTCCCGTTGCTCGGTCCCTGCTCCTGCCAACCTAGCAGTTTGAAAGCATGTCAAAGTGCAAGTAGATAAATAGGTACCGCTCTGGGGGGAAGGTAAATGGCGTTTCCATGCGCTGCTTTGGTTCACCAGAAGCGGCTTAGTCATGCTGGCCACATGACCTGTCAACTGTACGCTGACTCCCTCAGCCAATAAAGCGAGATGAGCGCCGCAACCCCAGAGTCGGCCACGACTGGACCTAATGGTCAGGGGTCCCTTTACCTTTATGGCTCTCAATGGCTCCTAGCTAGAATGGCTATGCTCTGGCTCCACAATCAGAGGCAGCCATGCTTCTGAGTAGCAATTGCTGGAAACCACAGGAAGAGAAGGGGCTCTAGTGCTTGAGTCCCGCTTCTGGCTTCCCATGGTATATAAAGCTGGCCATTGCGAGAATAGGATGCTGCACTACATGGCCTCCTTTGGCCAGATCCAGCAGGGTCTTCTTATGTTCATATGATGCATCATATTGTGTCTATGAAGATGAGCTCCAAGCCCCTGGAAACTGTGGTTATCCTGTTTCACAACCACTTCAGACTGTAGTTGGAGTTTTCTATGGATGAATGCTCTTTCAATCTAAACATAAAAATCCCTGCACATAGAAAGATAGCCTGTCAGCAAAAAGAATTTTAGGCCTGGACTTCTCTCTCATATTTTCTATGTGCAGGGATTTGTTTGTGTGTGTTTTAATGGAGGAACATTCAGACATGTGAGCCACATCTAGAGGAATATAGCATAGACACAAATACATCACCTCAGTGAGAAATATCAGTCTGCTGCCTACTCCACACTCTAAGTTTCTTCTTCATCAGGCTCCTTGCCCCATGGCTTCCCTACCTCCTAGAATTGCTCACTAATACTAAAGCAGTTCCCAGGAGGTAAAAAAAATAAACAAGAACTCCTGTCCCTTGGGGACTGTGCAAGATTTTAATCCCAGCCAAAGTGCCAACTGCCTCTCCCCTTGCAGAAGCTGCACTGCAAACATTCTGGTAGCATTTGCTGAACATTCCATATCGCTGCAGCCAATCAGATTTGATGCCACAAGTGCAATATAAAGAAGATGCATGGTGGCATGGATAGCAATTAATCCGAGGGTATCCTGCCTCTGAAACCTTTCTAAATATGTAGCTACATTGCTTCCAAAGCACAAGTGACACCACCTTTTCCTGTGCAGCACTTCCTGCGAACCATCATGCTTCCTTGTGGAAAGAAAAAATTCAGAGAGACCTCTAGCATGATCTCACACACAGAAAACTCTTCAGCCTAAACAAGTGATCTCAGCTGCCCTCTTTTCAAACCCCTCACTTCTTCAGAGACTGCACTTGGATTCCAGGCATTATTTACCCAAGTCTCTAAATACTGCTCGCCTTTCAATCAAGCATCCTGCATTCTAAATCCATCTAAGGCTTGTACACTGTTTTGCCTAATATACATACCTTTTTGAGAAAAGATACACAGAAAACTGCCCTACAACTCAAAATATTCTGCTGATCTACACTAATATCGGCTGCTCTGACCAGCAGCAATTATCCTGGTCTTTCCCACTGCTAGTTACCCAGTGCTGGGTGGGACCAGAGGTGAAAGTCGGTGTGGCAACAAATCTCTGTTCTTCATTTGTAAGAAAGCACTACAGTACTTCACTGTGGCAGCGCCTTAAACTCTGTGCCTATTGATAGTAGACAGCCGCCTTCACTTTGCTCTTTTCAGCAATTGCTAAAACATTTGTGTTTAGACAAGCCTATGTTTAGAAAGCTGCTGCGAATTTTTATCTGTTTTAGTCTATTGTTATTTTAACTTTTCGAAAGCTTTAGATTATAGTTAATTTATCTTGCTGATAATTTTAATGTTTTTCGGTAAACTGCTTTGAAGCGGGATATAAATGATGATGAAATAATATTCAATATTTATAATGAATGAATGAATGCACATTTTATCATTGTACAGTAGGCCAGTTTCTGCACATACCCTGCTCTCTACCTTTCAAGCAAGAGACACCCCAGTCAGGCAAAACACTCAAGGAAGTTGCTATGGGGCATTCCCAGAGGGTCACATCAGATCCCCAGGCCTAGAGTTTCCAGCCTTGGTGCTACCAGATCCTTTTACCTGTAAATGCCTAAGGCTGAGCCTGGATCTTCCGCATGCAAAGCCTCTTTCAGTTTCTCCAGTGTGGTGGCTGAGATCCCCTTTTTAACATTCAGTATCAGTAGTCCCTAGGCCATTTGGGGAAATGATTCCTCAGTAGGGCTTGGTGCAATCTCTTTCAATGTTTCCACGGTGCTCTGAAATTAACCTTCCCAGGGATGTGAAACTCAAACCCTCGTGCAACATTCAGAGAGATCCAGGCTGGGACAAAACCACTGGAAACATTTTACAAACATTGTCAGCTATACTAACCAACAACATTCCCTTCTTCTCACTTTTTTTTTTGGGGGGGGGGTTAGTTTTAGAATATGGGGCTGACAGCAGAAGGTTCATGGCTGCCTTCATTTGCCTTTCAAAACCCATCCAGGTTTGGTGGTGTGACACGAATTTCAAAGTGCACATAAAACCAATTATGCTTCATCATTCAAAATTTAGGAAATATTCCCTGAAAAAAAAAAAGAATCTCTTTATTTGAGTTCACAGAACCATCTGGAAGCCATCTTGACTCTCTTAATGACCCCAGTTATTTTCTCTGCAGCAGAAGGAAGTTTAGTTTGCAAAATCCTTCAAATAAATCCTGCAAATAGAAGAACTTCTTACATCAATACGGGAGGCCTGTGACCATGGTTCCTGCCTCTGCTCCTTCTTGCAACAGAGCACTGGGGATCCTGAATTGGCTAGGATCACCTATGTGACTGATCTAGGGAGGAGAGAGCAGCAGCTTTGCTGGGTGGAATGCAGTGGGAGAGTTAGGAAAGAATTATACCAAAGAACCAGGAACGGCCTGGGGAGCGGGAGGGTAATATAACATCTGGGATCAAAGCAAGCTAAACATCTGTGCAACCTCATTTTGAGGGGGAAATTATAACTTGCTGAAATCTTTTATTTCCAACCCTAAAATTGAAACTGGAGAACATTTGGCATAGGTAAAGGTAAATGGACCCCTGACCGTTAAGTCCAGTCGCAGACGACTCTGGGGTTGTGGCGCTCATCTCGCTTTATTGGCTGAGGGAGTTGGCGTACAGCTTCCGGGTCATGACTAAGCCGCTTCTGGCGAACCAGAGCAGCGCACGGAAACACCGTTTACCTTCCCGCCGGAGTGGTACCTATTTCTCTACTTGCACTTTGACGTGCTTTCAAACTGCTAGGTTGGCAGGAGCAGGGACCGAGCAATGGGAGCTCACCCCATTGCAGGGATTTGAACCACCGACCTTCTGATCAGCAAGCCCTAGGGCTCAGTGGTTTAGACCACAGCGCCACCCACGTGGCATAGCCCTGCCTAAAAACAAAACAAGCATTATTGGTTAGTTACTGCATATTGAGCCTGTTATCTAAGTCTTTGTTCTAGACGAGGGTTGTGAGAACCTGTTCCTCCATATTTTGCTGGATTCCAGCTCCCACCAGCCTCAGAACAATAGTCAAGGATGCTGAGAGTTGCAGCCAACAGCCCGGGATGCTGGGAGTTGTAGTCAATGGTCAGTGACGATGGGAGTTGTAGTACAGCAAACATCTGGAGGGTCAGAGGCTCCTCTCTTCTGACCTAGGGTGATCTGAGCAGCAGTGTCCTACATATTACACTGCTTAATCAAGAGAGAAAGAGTTGATTCCGGTTGTCTGATATGACACTGTTTTTCACTAGACTATAAAGCTGGTGTCAAAAGATGAAGTTGCATGCTGGTTTGCTTGAGAGGAGAGGGGCAAGTATTTCTTGAGTATTTCTTGTTCTTAAAGCCAT